AGTACTACCAGTCGACTCAGTGTTGCCGAAATTTTCGAGCCAATTTCTTGAGGAGTATTAAAACACCTTCATTTTCCTTCAACGCAAAAAAATTCCAAATCTTGTAAAAAATCAACTAATTTCGTGTATTTTACCTATTTTATAATTAGGAGAAATTTTTTAAAAACTTATAACTAGTAATTTTTGGACCACAATGTATTTAAATATTTTTTTTTCCATAGCAACTGTTAAAATTGCCTTATATTGCTTATATCTATCAAAAATAGTAGATAAAATAGTACTTTAACCACAAGGGTAGATTAAATGATACTTTAACAGCGAGGATAGGTTAAAAACTTTATTTCTTCTCGCACGTTTTTGATAATTTTTGTATTCCTTTTCATAAGTTATTCGGGATTTAAATGGAAGAAATTTGGATATGGCGTTTGTCGCATCAGCCTGAATATCTGTTGGTAATTGACTTATTTCGTTTTGAGCCATTTCTGGCTCCAATTCAATCAGCAATCGATACGAAAGAGAATTAAAAAATATTGACTCAAAACTGACAACTAAAGAGACAGCTTTATTTATTTGTCAAATTACATAGAAACCAACGCCAACCCAGCGCAATATTTTTTCTACTCGTAATAAATTCCTTGAAATAATAATTTCTGAATATTTTTTAAAACGTAACTCGCTATGGAAGAAAATATTGTTTTTACACGACGATAAAATTGCATTATCGTCTCCCGAATTTTTTTCTCGATCTTCGTACATTTTTTGGAATAATTCCTCTTTGATTTGATGATCTAAAAGATTTAGTTTTTTTCTCGATCTAATACACGCGTAATAACTACACCCACATACTAATATATTTGAGAAAACCCACCTAAAAACCTTCAAATTGTTTTTATATCATATAACTTACGACTTTGCTAGACGCCGTTTGGTAGATAACAGACCACCATGGCGAGGAATTCGCTCTCTTAAATTAACAGGGTTTACGTAAAAATAAGGTATTTCGTCTATCCGGAGTTCCTTGTATATTTAGATTTTGATTAGATAAATGACCAGAATCCGAGTTTAGGTGTTTAAAGCATTTAGGCAATTTTAAATTCCAATAAAAGCTAACTTTAATTGGAATATGCCCATATTGGGCTATACCAATAGCCTAATATCTTCTTCTTCTTCTTCTTCTTTTAGAAGGCGTATCGCCTATTTAGTTCCGGTTTCCTCCTCGTCTAAGCAACTCTTGCGAGGTTGACTGCCGACTGTCTTGTCAACGTTTAGGTGGTCGTCCAGTAGGTCTTCTGCCATGGGGTACGTTGTTGCGAATTATTATGGCCATTCTGTCGGGGCCCATTCTATTGACATGCTGATTCCATTCTCTTCTTCTCTGCCTTATCCATCTGACAACGTCGTTTGTTTGGCACTTTTCTCTTATGTCTACATTTCTCTGTCTGTCCCTCAATGTGTATCCAGTTATCATTCTTAAGGTCTTCATTTCAGTAGTTCGTAGGATTCTCTTTGTTACTGATGTTTCAGCTCTGGTTTCCGCACCATATGTCATCACTGGTCGTATGCAGGTTTTGTATATTCTTGACTTACATTCTGTACTCAAATGTTTGTTTTTCCATATGGGATATTTAAGATGTCCTGATATTGCGGCAGCTTTATTGGCTTGTTTCCTTACTTCTTCTTCCAGGAATCCTGAGCTTGTAATTTTGCATCCGAGGTATTCGAATGACATTATCTGATCAATAGTTTTGTTTTTTATTACCAATTTGCACCATAGAGGCTCCTTTGTAATGGTCATGCATTTGGTCTTATTTGTGGAAATTTGCATGTTAAGTTTTTCTGCCTGTCTGTTAAAAGCTTGTAGCATTCTTTGGAAGTCGTCCTCTGACTCTACAATAAGTACTGCGTCATCCGCATAGCATAATATGTTTACTTTATGCATTCCCATTCGACATCCTAATCCAGTAGCCTAATATGTAGTTAAAAAATGGCCGTTGTACTTTAAATCGAATTAAAACTTGACCCCAAAAGTTATAGAGGGCCAGACAAAATTAATATTTGAACATTAGTTATTTTTAAAAACAAATTATTTTTTTAATTTAAATGGAACACCCAGTGTATTATTCCGATATCCAATAAACAATCCATGTCTCTTCAAAGGATTGTTAAGTTTGCCTACCTCTCAGACTAAGATTTTCTTACATATTTTCATTATTATACAAATTAGTGTTATTCTCTGATGATATGAATCACCCTTTATATCAGGGTTCACAAAAAAATAATAATTTTTGTTTCTTTTTCCATAGCAACTGTTAAAATCATGATACAAAGAATACAAGGTATGATATTGCGCAGGTTGGTCACTACGTCACAGGTGATAAACGGCACCATTGGTCGGCAAGCTCCGCGCGGTAGTTTCAAATTGTCAAACAGATGACACAATAAACGCGAAAATAATTTTTCAAATGTCTAGCTCCTTTGAATAAGAAGACTAAGGAAGGAGCATAATGCTATCCATGTATTCATGCATGGTGGGCGGAAAAAGCACCATAAAAGCTCTGTAGGGTGGGGATCCTTGACAGTTCTGTTTGACGATTCATTTGACACATTTGAATTTGATTTGAAATTTTGTGGATTTGTCAGTCTTTACGGAGCTTATTTTATGTTATTTATTATTTATTATACTACTGATAGTTGTATAAAGGTAGTAAATCTAGATGGAAATTGTGGCAGCACTTAAATTAACAGTGACACAATCGCGATTTATCGAAAAAGACTCTAAAATAGTTGGTTGTGTAGCGTGCGGTAGATCTCGGCAAAAATTGAGTGAAATAATGGAACAACTTTTCGCTAGTAAGTGACTATATAATATACATACGTGTAGTAAACCGATCATTTATGAAATTCACTTAAATTAACTAAATTATATATTTTTCTTGCATTTTAGCTTTTATTTATCACTTGTCAAAGATTAGATGTCAAAGAATTTAGATACGTTAGTTTGACTTACCTGCTTCAGTAGCGTATCGGATGTTTGTGTTAATAAATACTTATTATAACTTATCTATTTTTATTAGAATTATATATTTTTATAACAATTTTAATAACTACCAACATTTATTCATAACGTAAAATAAAACAACAAATTATTGAGTCTAGCCCACGTCTACCCTACATCATAGTTTTACATTTTTTAAATAAAATTAGAACGACACTGATAAACCGGAATTTAAGTCGGCCATATTTGAGGCCCTTTGGTGTACCTAAGATTTTTGATATGCTCCTTCCTTAGTCTCCTTATTCAAAGTCTAGCTCGATAGTTTGACATAACTTTTGGGGTTATGTCCTAATTCTTCCCTATTTTAGGTCTTTTTTTACTAGTGGCAATTGAACAATATGGATAGTTTTTTGTATGGTGTATGACGTCACAGGTGGTATGAGCAAACTTAACGAAATTGAAGCCGCTATCGATCATACCTTGTTTTCTTTGTACCATGTGTTAAAATTACCTTATATGTATCAAAAATAGTAGATAAAATAGTACTTCAACCGCAAGGGTAGATTAAATGCACAAAACATCCCCCTTTAGAACTTCGTCTGTCATGTTAAGAAATGAATGTAAATAATAAAGCGCCTCTCGTGTTTGTTCGCATTCAAAAAATTTCATTTAATGCCTGTACATATTTTTAATATATTTTTTAAATTTACATTTTTTTAATTGTAAAGTAATATATTACATTTAAATGGAATATATTACATAACAATTATGTCAATTACATGATTACAAGCTTGATTTCAATCTAACATTTTTTAAATAAAACGAATGATAAAATTTCAATATATGTATATTTGTCGTAGGTATGAAAAAAGTAAAATATAAAATGAACAAACGCTTACTTACATTGCAATAAAACTTCCACTTTTACTTTTGCAATCCAAACACAATGTTTCTATTTCACAAATAAAAATATCCGACAACACTAAAATCACTGAAACTTCCGCGGCTAACAACGAAAACTGAAAAATATATCGGCAGTTTTGTTTTGGACCTGCATATCAACATTATGCTGTACTATTATGTGTTTGTTGTTGAAATAATATAAAATATCTAATTATAACTTGTAAATTTTAATATATTTTTTAACATGATTTTAACTACCTTTGACAATAACTAACTTTTTGGTATCAAGATGACATTTTAGACGGCAACTGACATATATGTCATAATATTTGAGTCTTATGGTCTTAAATATGTATGTAATATAATTCAAATTACTATATATTATAATGCAACTTTATACTAAGAAAACATTTATACATTCATAAAATACAACAAAGTCTAATAATATAGTTTGAAAACAATGAATATTGAATTAAAATTGAAAAAGTTAAGCATGACCACTTGTGTCAAAATTAGATGATTAAATTTTCGCAATTTGTACACCATTTGATGACCGGTGGTGCCTCTAGTGTTTGTTCGGGCGGTTGGGCTTTTACTCCCGCTTATGGCCATTAAAGAAAAAGTTCTAAAGGGGGATGTTTTATGATTAAATGATACTTTAACAGTGAGGATAGGTTTTTTAAAAACTTTATATCTTCTCGCACGTTTTTTAATTGCTTCCATTTTTGAAAATTTTTGTATTCCTTTTCATTAGTTATTCGGGATTTAAATGGAAGTAGTTTGGATATGGCGTTAGTCGCCTCTGCCTGAATATCTGTTGGTAATTTACTTATTTCGTACGAAAGAGAATTAAAAAATATTGACTCAAAACTGACAACTAAAGAGACAGCTTTATTTATTTGTCAAATTACATAGAAACCAACGCCAACCCAGCACAATATTTTTTCTACTCGTAATAAATTCCTTGAAATAATAATTTCTGAATATTCTTTAAAACGTAACTCGCTATGGAAAAAATATTGTTTTATACACGACGATAAAATTGCATCATCGTCTCCCGAATAGTATAAAAAATAACTAAAAATACCTTTTTTGCTTACAGATGACGGTAGCTCCCAAAAAGAAATCAACAGAAAAGAACAAACGTAGATTTCAAGCAGTCCTACCGGCAAAATGCAAGGACATATGCGAAGACACCAAGACGCGGTACCCAACCAAAAAGATCCAGAAACTGATCAAAAGAAAAAAGTACTTGACGCTGTTCAACAACAAAGGACCTTTACTGGAACCGGCCTCCCAGCCTGCTCCATTTAATGTGCTCAAGGAGCAGGAACTCGAATCTGAGAATTTGTGCAGGACAAGGACAGTGAATATGTTTCCTAAGGCCGCCTTGAATTTGGTCACGGGTGAACCTGCGTTGATTGTGAACGTGCCTAGTTATCAGCAGAACCTAATCTACGAAACATGTGTGTAAGTAAACTATATTATTATTATTATACAGGGTTGGGGTTCACCACATACGACACGGAGTAGCTAAACAATTTGATTTTTACAAATTGTTTTAGGTTAGTTATAAAAAAGTTACAAAATATTTTTACAAGATACAGAGTCTCCCAAATAAGTAAAAATGTTAAAGTTGTATTTTTTTAAAATGGAACACCCTGTAGATTATCCTATTTTTAGATTCTACGATTAAAATAAAGGCAAATTTAATTAAGGTTTATCACACTACCGTTTTTTGAAATATTTTCAATTTTATGAAATTACTGTAATAATTGTAAGGCTTCATTTCTCCAAGGGTATCAAAGTTTTTAATACTAAATATTTACTGAATTTTATTTATTGATCAGATATTGTGTTGCAGTAATAAAAATAATACTACCTTATACAGAGTGTCTAAAAATCTATATTATATAATTACTAGCTTTAAACGGCAATAACTTGTTTAATTTAAATGGAACACCCTGTATATTTTACGAGAATCTTATGCACAATGTAATTGTCTATCAAATTGTCTTATACCTTTTTTACCTATCTCTTCAATTTTTCGTAGAAGATGCATTTTCTTATAATTTAGACCTCATTTATCACTATACCCATGGAATATTAAAATTTTAGATTATTTTTAAAGATGTAACAAATTTTCAAAGAGTACCAGATACTAATATTGTCGATATACTTGTAAAAAATTTAAAAAAATGTAAATATATTTTTTAAATAGGTATACTCTTTTACAAAGATTTTAATAGTTTTCTTTTTGTAAACCAATGGACTTGCAACATTATTATTTTTACCACCTGTACATTTTGTACATATGTTACTTTAAAAAAAATCTAAAATGTCAATATTCCATGGGTATGGTGATAAATGAAGTCTAAATTATAAGAAAATGCATTTTTTACAAAAACTTGAAGAGATAGGTAAAAATGGTATAATACAATTTGATAGAACATTATCTAGGTTTCTACGATGGAGTTGTCATTTTTTTTTGTTTCCTACCAACGAGTCAGACAAAATTTTGAGAGATGACAATTAAAAAATTACATAAAATCCTGTGAGTTAAAATGAGGCTCACAAGAACTGTCATTGTCAGATTCCTAAATTTTATACAAAACAACTAATTAAATATGCTTAATAACTAGGAAGTTATATGCACAATTCGGTATATTTCCTTTAAAATTTTTACAAAATATAAAAGATTATAATATTATTAAAATATTTATTGGAATTGACGAAATTTTATTTAAATCCAAAGAAAGTATTCTCAAAAATTATACCTACAGTTCTTAATGAGATTATTGAACTATCTGGCGGAATATGAAAGTATTTTGTTTTGAAATCAATAAAATACAAACGGATGTTAAACCATAACATAATATATCCGAGTATATAGGAAAAATTAATAAAATGATGTAATCTTACCGTGACAAGAGACTAACTTACCTGGAACAGCTAGAAATTTAAAATCAGTTAAAACCAATAATAATATCAACGGCAAACAAGAATAATAATTGTTAAACACGTATTTTATGCCCCTGTTGTAAAATGCTTCTTAAACCCACCCCATAGCAAATATACAGGGTGTTCCTTAATGATTTGCGAATATTTTAGTGAGCGATTCCTGAACATATTGTAAGAAAAAAACTTTATATTAATGTGACGGCCGCTAGAGTGCGTAACTCCTATGTAAAATAACATAAATAAATAAATAAATATAAATAAATAAATAAATGCTTTTATTGTCAAAAAATTTTTCAATTTGTAGACAAAGGTAAACTAACAAACAAAGTAAAAAAACAAGGTACACAAACAAACCAACAAAAGATAGTACAAAACATTATACAAATAATATTGTCAGTCTTATTGTTTAAAATAAACATTTATAAATGTTTACAATGTCAAAGAACAAAAAAATAAAAATAATATTCAAAAATATTTAGTTACTTTATAGTAAAATATCAATGACCTCTAAATAAATTTATTTCGATGTCATTAGTAAATATAGCAATAGCGAACATTAGACCAGTGTTTACAAGATCAAATTCGATTTTCAAAATATAATTCATTTACGGCGTAGAAAGCCTTGTCTAGTAAATACGAGTTCAATGTTTTGCGAAATGAAAAAAATGATGTTATGGATTTGATTTCAATTGGCAGGTGATTGTGCATTTTTTTCGAGTTGTATAATAGTGAACTTTTAACTAACTCTGAGCGTGGGGTAGGTAGATAAAGATCTTGCTCGGCGTTCCTGAGTGGATAAGTGTGAGATGGCCTTTCTTGGGAAGCTGATACATGTTTACGTATTAGGCAAACGGATTCAAATATAAATAAGGAAGGAAGAGTCAATATATTTAATTCTTTAAAAAAGTCCCGGCAATGAGTTCTGCTGTTTAGTCCCAGTGCATATCGAACAGCTCTTTTCTAGAGCTTGAAAATGCGGTCAAATTGAGTCGCACAACACGTACCCCAGAATGGAAGGGCATACCTGAGGTGCGACTCAAAAAGTGCATAATAAACAGTTCTAGCTACTGACAAGTTAAGCTCCTTAGAAACAGACCTTAATGCAAAACAGGCAGAGCTTAATTTTTTCGACAAGGCTTCGATATGTATATCCCATTTCAGAGAATTGTCCACAACAAGCCCTAAGAATTTTACAAATTTTACGACGTCAATGGTGGTGTTGTTAAGTACAAAAGGCTGCAACGAGTTTTTATACCACAAAGCTTTAGTTTTAGAAATGTTGAGACTCAGGAGGTTCGAATCGCACCAAGATTTAATGGTGATTAAGTCATTTGATATAATCCTATGAAGTGCTGTGATGTCCTTGTTGCTCCAATAATCGTGTGTCGTCCGCAAAAAGACATATTTTGCCACTGATGTTTATGTTAGCAATGTCGTTAATAAAAAGAAGAAACAAAAAAGGGCCTAGTACTGAGCCTTGTGGTACTCCACATTCTATTGGCTTGCTAGAAGACAACGTATCCACCCTCACAAGTTGACTTCTGTTGCTCAGATACGACTTAAACCACTCGAGAGATGATCCCCTGAATCCATAGTAAAGCAGTTTATTAATTAGGATCTTATGATTTACAAAATCGAACGCCTTAGAAAAATCACAGAAAATTGTTGCTGTAGAATGATGGTTGTTTAGGCCGGAGTAAACTTTATTAAGGAGGAAAAACATAGCGTCATTTGTGGACTTGTTGCTTGAAATCCAAATTGATATTCAGTAAGTATTTTGTACTTAAACAGAAAAGATACCAGCCTTCTTTTAACCAACCTTTCTATGATCTTAGATAGCGTTGGAAGGAGTGCAATTGGGCGATAGTTAGAAGCTTCATCTTTGTCACCTCCTTTATGCAGAGGAATGATTATTGCCGTCTTAAGACATTTTGGAAAAATATCATTTTGGAATGACATGTTTATTAAAGTTGTTAGCTGATTCAGAGTGCTTTCTGGCAGATTCGAAAATATTTTTAAAGTTAGCCCGTCGGTCCCAGAAGAGGATTTATTTTTGATGGTACTAATTGTACTGCGAAGCTCTTCTAAAACTACGGGCGAAAAAAAGAAACTGTGTAAGTTTACATTATCATTAGAGAGATAAGAAAGTGGATCATGAGAAGGACATATGGTATTAGTTAAATTTTTAGCTACATTTACAAAGTAATCATTAAGGTTTTCAGGTGAGATAGAGATATTGCTAGTCGAAGAAGCTTTGTTTCTCAATTCATTCACAATAGACTATGTTTCTTTAGCAACATTACCAGAATTGACTATTCTCCTATTATAATAAAGGTCCTTAGCGGCTCTTATAGTCTTATGATGAATTTTTCTGTATAGTTTTAGTTTAATAAAATGGAATTTTTAAGAAATTTTGCATAGATACGATGTACTGTAAATAATAGCTTCATAACCTTCAGTAAATTTTGGATCTTTTTTGTTAGAACCATTTTCTCCTATCTGCTAAAATAAAGTGATTAGGGAGGGTTAGGTCTGCTTTTATTTAAACGTTAATAACTCCGGAATGGATGATCGGAATCCAACAAATGATAGCTCGTTTAAAAGAGCGTTTCTTACTCTATATTATATTACATAAAAAATAAAAATAACCTTTTGAACATAGGCGCCAAGAGGCGCTGACTTACAATTTAACAAACATTGCGCGTTTTTTCAAAAAAAATTAAATGCGATAGTATATGTAATTTTAACATTTACTAAAGAGTAATAAAAGCTTAACAAGACCGCGAAAACCGCATCTTGATATCTTTTTTCAAACCAAAATTATTAGCAATGTTAGGTATAATAAACACGAAAATATAAGACCTAAATTGCCTTATTTTTCTAACACGGTATTACTAGTCATCTTGATTATGACCATTCTAATAAAAAATAAGATAAAAAAGATTATTTTATTCAAAAAATCGACAATCAACAAGCATACCATACTACTACGTGCATCTAATAGTTAAGATATCAATGATGGTAGACAAGAAACGATAAAAAAAATATAAATATAAAATATAAAAATAAAAAAAAAATATAGAGAATTATAGACCAATAAGCCTTCTCTCGCATCTATACAAGCTCTTCACTAGGATTATCAACAACCGACTGTCTACGAAACTAGATTCCTATCAGCCAATAGAACAGGAAGGCTTTCGAAAAGGTTTTAGAGAGTACCATCTCGATCATCTACAAACAATTAAAACAGTCATTGAAAAAACAACAGAATACAATATACCTCAACATTTGGCCTTTGTAGATAACCAAAAAGCCTTTGACAGCATCGAAACCTGGTCATTTCTAGCTGCAATGGAGGACGCGAGATTTGATTCCAGATATTATTCCATTATTAAAAATATCTATGATAGTGCAACCTTCCAAGTTAAATTAGATGATGACCTCAAAACAGAAAAAATACTACTCGGCAAGGGCGTGAGACAAGGAGATACCATCTCTCCCAAGTTATTTACACTGGCACTGGAAAATGTCTTCAAGAAATTAGAATGGGAAAATAGAGGTCTAAACATCGATGGGGTACACCTTAGCCATCTTAGGTTCGCAGACGATATTGTCTTGCTGAGCACCGACATTCAAGAACTAAACACCATGCTAAATGAGCTAAATGACCAATACCAGAAAATTGGCCCTAAAATCAACTTGAAGAAGACCAAGATAATGAGCAACAATATCCATAACATTACCGTGGACAACGTTATTATTGAAAACGTAGACCATTATATATATTTAGGTCATAAAATCAAGCTGGGCAAGGAAAACCAAAATACGGAGATCAAACGCAGGATCCATTTGGCATGGGTAGCATTTGGAAATATGAGCGATATTTTCAAGGATAAAAAGGTGCCCATGAACCTAAAGAAAAAGGCTTACGACAGCTGCATTCTACCTGTGCTTACGTATGGCTTAGAGACTATGGCAATTACTCGAAAAACAGCAGAACAACTACGAGTAGCACAAAGAGCCATGGAAAGAATCATGTTGGGAGTCACCATTAGGGAAAAAATACCCACATACGTCAAAAAACAAAATTAATAGATGTCGTTAAAAGAGTGGCAAGTCTGAAGTGGCAATGGATAGGACATGTGGCAAGACAGGATCCAGACCGATGGCCCCAAAAAGTAATCCTATGGAGACCTAGGGGAACAACAAGAAATGTGGGCCGACCAAAAAAGAGATGGGTCGATGACGTCAGGGCAGTCAGGCGGGAAGACAATGGATAAGATTGGCTAGAGATTGCGAAGCATGGAAAAACCTAGAAGAGGCCTATATCCAACACTGGATGGAACCAGGCTGAGAAAGAAGAAGAAGAAGAAGACAAGAAACGACACCTCAGTGAATTCATGGTAGGCTTTGGAAAAAATGCTTTTAGAGGGATAGTTTAAACATCAAAATATTATTATATCAACATTTTGATAGTCTCAGCAGCATTTATCTTTTGATTGCTTTTCTCAAAATGCCTTACTTACATTCATATGTTTTTTTTTCTTAAAATAGGTCTAAGAAACACCTCCTAAAATATTAATATGTCATTAAGAAACACCCTGTATATAGTTTGTTACAGTGTATAGTCTGTCCAACGAGAAGATCCTTGACAGTGATAGTTGTGTCTGTCATTTTAATTTCAAAGTAGTTTATTTTATTTTAAGTATTTTAATTTGTAAGTTGGTACAACTGGAGCGCATATCAGGAAATTAATATATGTATTTAAAATTTGACTGACAAAACAAACTATTTTATTAATAATAACACTTACCAAATTTTATACCTCACAGGTTGATTAATTAACTTTAATCTTAATTTTTTAAACCAGTACCTTTTGACATTATTTTTCTGCAGTACTAAAATCCATTATTTACCTATCGTGTGATGTCGATATTTTACAGCTACTCCAGTTTTTAGTATGTGTTTAGTATGGTCCTTCTACCATATTCGAGATGCACTTATCTACGACGAGATGGTATACGAACTTTATTGATAGTAACTTTATTGGTGTATCTGTATAAGACTTTCTGCCTGGGCAGCGAGTATTAACCATAAACTGTGCTCTGGGTTCTACAGTTAATTTTCACTCGATTTTTCCTCCACTTGACTTCAAAAGACACAAAACACTCGTAATAACACGAATCAAAATGCATCATCTTCCAAAACGCAGGGTATTTGACAAAAGTTGTCACAAAATTATAACCTATAATTTGGCAAGACTTTGACAAACGTCAAAAATCTAAAGGCAAATTCATACGCATCGGCTTCCGTTTGTCGTTCATCGTTCCGTCAAACCAATAAAATTGAAATATGATCTGTCATTTTTGAAATAAACCAATAAAACTGGTTAAAAACAACAAGTGACGACGCATGACGAATTTATATTTAAACCCATCCATAGTTAACTTAAAGATTATTAGAAACTTTTTTTAGTAAAATAAATAGATTGGTATGGGACGTCATCTGCTTTTCTTCTGTCATCGTCTGTCGAAATCTTACCTGAGAAAAAAAACAGAGTTATAGCTAGACAATTAGTTTTCCGAAAATCTTGAAAAAAGCCTAACACAAGCCGAAATATGTATATGTAGAGATATAGTTACTCTCATCATACTTGAAACATCTAAAAGTGTGTTTTATTAAAATACTGAAATCTGGTTTTTCTAAAGCCACATGTTTAATGTTATGAATGGGCTCTGCGATTTACAATAATACACGTGGCGAAAATTTGAGTTAAAACGGAATTTCTTGCTATTGTTCTTCTATAAATATATGCTTATAGTATTAAATAACTTAAAACTATCCTATCATAAATGTTTCATCACTAAGATCGAAAGCAAAATCGATTTTTAATCATTTTACAATGGAGAGTAATGATTAATATATCTGCTTTGATCTTACTACATCAATTAGGTGTATATTTTTTGTAAAGACTGTAAAACAATATCATAAAGTTACAAGCATTATTACTTCAAAATTACTTAATATATAAGATTATGCATTTACAGGAGAAATTGTAGCAGACACATATGTTTATCGGTTGTACTGATGATACTTTTTCTAGAACAACAATATAAAAATGGCGAAAGTTGTTTTACTTTTACTAATACGTTATGTTACTCGATTATAATCATCTTCGATGTCTAGTAAGATTAATAATTGGTCGTAACTAAAATATGAAAGTAATTGTTTCGTTTGGGATGTTCAGTTTGAAATGTCAGTTACATAACAATAATTATTTATAACAAATTGTTCTTTAACGTACTTTTCTTGTAGATTAAGAGTCCCAAATTAAGATTTCTGATATATAAAATCCTTAAGTGGCTGACTCACTGATTAATCACGATCCTGCTCAAACCACTCAACGTAAGAAGCTCAATTTTGGCATACAGGTTGATTCTAGGGTGTAGAGGTTCGATAAGAAGGGAATTTTCGAAATTCCAGTTCCAGGGGGGTGAAACCACCCCTCAAATATTACAATATTTTTTATTTAAAAAATGGTCATATTTTAAAAATCTATACAGGGTGTTTCGAAAAATCTGGTCATTGATTAATCACGATCCTGCTTAAAGCGCTTGACGTAAAAAGCTGATTTTTGGAAAACGGGTTGACTTTAGGGTGTATAGGTTCGATAAGAAGAGATTTTTCGAAACTCGAATTCTAAGGGGGTGAAACCACCCCTGCAATATTAGAATAGTATTTTTTATTTCAAAAACCGGTGAGTTTTTCGGAAAAACTCTCAAACACGTATATTTTATTTTGTTGTTTTACATATTTAAAGATTTCTTAAAAATTTATACAGGGTGTTTCATAAAATATGATCACGATTCTGCTTAAACTGCTTGACGTTTAAAGCTGATTTTTGGCAAACGGATTGACTGTTGGGTGTAGAGGTTCGATAAGGAGGTTTTTCGCGAACCTCAAATTCCAAGAGGGTAAAAACGCTCCTCAAATATTACAATATTCGTCATTTAAAAAACGGTTAGTCTTTTGGGAAAACGCTTAAACAAGCATAATTTATATTGTTTTTTTACATATTTTGAAATTTTTTAAAAAATCATACAGGGTGTTCCAAAAAGTTGGGTAATTGATTAACCGCGATTCTGCTTAAACTGCTTGACTTAAAAAGCTTATTTTTGGCAAACGGATTTTTCGAAAATCAAATTCCAGCAAGATGAAACTATCCCTCAAATATTACCAAGTTATATAATAATATCGCCATATTGTTTTTTCTCATGCTGACATAAATGTGAGAAAATTTTATCCAGTTTGTATGTTAATGGAAATTCTTGCTTTGCTTTATCATCACCATTACAAATGATTAATTCGACGAGAACAAAGTCGCGGGTACACGCTAGTTGTACTTATAGAATCTTTTCCTTTTCCAGAGATGGTGACGGCAAATGTGTCGACAAAGAAAGTCGCCCCTACGGTTTCCAGACGGCGTGCAAACAGAAATACAACAAAGTGAGACTGGTATCCATAAATTCCGAAGGAAAACTGGAACATGGCAAGTTTTTCGTGCCCAGTACGTGCGTTTGCAGCAGCTATACCTTCAAGCGATAACAAACCTCCAACTCTCAGCCAGTTAATGTCCAGAATTCGAATTAGTTGAGAGAAAATCTGGAAAATAAGGACAAATTCTGTCACCCCCCCTTAGATTAAATATATTAAAAAATATAGCATACAATCATAACGGTGTTTCACAGTTTAAGCCAACAGATTACTGACATTAGTCAGTCTGTTTCAATGAGACCGAAAGGTATCATAGATATACAAATCTGCTGTATCTTTTATATAATTAATCTAAAGTTCCCACACTAGTTACAAAATAATCTGCTCCAATATTTTTCTTTTTAAAGACTATTTGAAAATAGATATCGCGATCTTTGAGTGGAACTAACTAATTTGTGACTACTGTGTGTTTGCAAGCCTATTCATAGTATTATTAAAGAGATTTGTTAGTGTTTAGTTCAAATTAGCAAGAAATACTTTATTATATTAAAAATCTATAAGTGTGGTTTTAGGTCGGACGACGCATTACGGATGCATGTAAACCCACACTAAGACACTAAAACTGATTCGTGATCAATCAAATGAAACAAAAATTTAAAATTTGTTAAATGAATTGTAAAGTGTGATATACCTATTTATTTTACATGAGTTTCAAACTTTATTTTAAAAATAAAATATCTCTATCTGTCCAACGAATTAGGGAAACTTTCGACAGATTGCGACATCAAAAAAAAGACAGAAAATACGATTTTCCTGTACGTTAAAGTGACAGACACAACTGTCACTGTCGCGGATCCTCTTATTAGACATACTATATGATCAGGTACAATATGTCTCCAGATTGTCTACTAAGAGGAAAAACTTTTTCATTATTGGAATTTTGAGAAAAAATTCATTCTTCATTCATTCAATTCATTTCTTACTTGGTTCCTGTACATTGTAATAAAAAAAAATATTTTAATGAATATTAATTAAATCTCATAATATTTGACTTATTTAGGTTTAGGTAATTTATTTGAAACTTCGTCATTTATTCTATTTATGTTTGTTTACTTTTTTATATAAATTATTTTTTTAATAAAAATGTAAAATAACATTTTTTTGCATATTATTTACCATTTGCCTTAATTTTCCAGTACCTAATGTAAAAAATTAAGAAATAAAAACAAATATGTACAGGGTGGTCGAAATTGGTCTGTTTTAACAGAGAAAACCTTTTACCTGACTAGATAGAGCAAAACCGACATAGATGTCATGGGCTCGATTTCTGAGACACGTTTTCTCATGGGCTCGATTTCTGAGACACGTTTTCTCATGGGCTCGATTTCTGAGACACGTTCGGTTTTGCTCTATCTAGGCAGAAAATAGGTTTTCTCTGTTAAAACAGACCAACTTCGACCACCATGTACAGGGTGGGTCAAATTCGACGCTTTTAAATGGAAACACCCTTTTCTATAGGAGATAGACGAAAACTAATATCGGTGTCTGGAGCTCAATTTTTGCCAAAAACATGATAGTGAAAACTGCATATCGATATCTGTTACCGTTTCGGAGTTACGGGGTGTTTTTCAAAAATATGCACTTTTAACAAATCGCTGTAACTTTTTTGTAATGGAAAATTTTGTATTTTTATGAAAACATTTCCAAAGCACCTTTTTACGTAGAATTTAATGGTTTAAGTATATTTTTTTTTAAATTAATAATTTAAGAATTATCAACAGAGAATTTGATTTTTTATATGGGACAACCTGTGTATTTTTAATTTATTGAAAATAATTTAAAATTACCTTTCCAAAAATATAACACACTTGATATTTTGCTCAATTCCTTTTCGAGATATAGAGTATATAAAAATTCGCCCGCTTTAAATGAGTAGGCTTTGAACGGCACCGGCTGTAATGCAAAAAAATCCAGCTATGCGCATCAATTAAAACGAAAATAATATTTGCTATGAGAGATGCAGAATTTTATAACTATTTAAAATATATTTAATCAACATCAACACATTTAAACTATATCTAATAACAAGAAAAATAAATAGCAAACCAAGACATGAGATTTTGGTATAGGTGTTCGACATATCGACCGTCTAGATTATACGGAAGAATAAGGAACCTTTATTTTTCCGCAAATATATCGATAGGATTAGATCCATGGGCACCAAGTCAGGCGGCCTCGACGGCCAACGGCTGGAATCTTGGTTGGCTATTCAATTATTCTTGAAATTGGATGCAAAAATTTGCTGATAACTTTAGCGATCAGAGGCGGTGCGTCGTCTTGCTGGAAAAATATGTTTTCGAGTTCCATTAAGGGCATATCATCAATAAAGGGTCCAAAGCCTACTAGTTAAAAGTGGCGAACTTTTAAAAATTCTGTATTTCGAAGGGGATATAACAAAATATCAAGTGTGCTATATTTTTGGAAAGGTAATTTTAAATTATTTTCAGTTAATTAAAAATATACAGAGTGTCCCAAATAAAAAATCAATTTTTCTGTTGATAACTCTTAAATTATTAATTTTAAAAAAAGTATACTTAAACCACTAAATTCTAGGTAAAAAGGTGCTTTGGAAATGTTTTTATAGAAATACAAAATTTTCGATAGCAAAAAAAGTTACAGCAATTTGTTAAAAATGCACATTTTTGAAAAACACCCCGTAACTCCGAAACGGTAACAGATATTGATGTGCCGTTTTCACCCTCATGTTTTTGATGAAAATTGAGATCCAGACACCGATATTAGTTTTCGTCTATCTCCTATAGAAAAGGGTGTTTCCATTTAAAAGCGTCGAATTTGACCCACCCTGTACAAAGGAATTTTATATACAATTAAGAAAATGAAATAATTTTACAAAATCTCAAAGTCAAAACAGGTTTGCCCAAGTCATTTCTGGAATTTACCAGACACCGGAAACTACGACGCTTGTTTTTTTCTTAAATCCGCTGCAAATTTGAAAAAAAAATAAACAGATATTTCAATCCGGTCTATTATTATAGTCTCAAATCGTTCGATCATTCCGTTATAGTTTATTTTTCTTTATTAGATAAAAAAACTGGTCTGGAAACATCTTGGAAAATGCATCTGGTCTCGTGGAAACTGTAATAAACAAATTCTGGATAGACAATCAATCGAGCACCAGTCAAAAAACGAACACAGTCTTGTTTAAATTTCGACTAAAAATGGAGGAGCTTAATGAATATATTTTCGACTGAGCCAGAACTTTAAGTAATGTTGTAAATATTTTAACTTGGAAGGTATGCCAGCCAATTATTAATGATTTAATATGTAAAAACAACGAAACATTTTAGGCACGCCTACGTGTTCGACTTGATTTAAAAGTTCCTCGAGAATTTTATTGGGAAAAAAGCAAATTAATTTGAGGAGGTGTTTGACGTAGAGGTGCAATGTTATGCTGCAGGAAAATTTCTAAAAATAAAAGAATACATCTGTCAAATAATGATAAAAGACGCTGGTCAGAATATAAAAATGTTGATCTAATGACACTTTGACGTTTAAAAATCCAAGGAGGCAATAGAGAAAGAAAACCAAGAGAATCAGAAATTATCAGTATATGTATACTTCACGCCGCGCCACAGCCGCACAGTGCTTCGTCCCATGGACAAAAATCGAAAAAAAGTTAAAATTTATTAATATCTGAATATGTAATTATATACTTATAGCAATGTTCAACCATCCTGTATATTATTTTTCATAAACAGCGTTTTTCGTTAGCAAATATTTTCACTAAAAATAAATTTTGCGATCATTATCTTATAAGTGAAAAGAATAACATTCATAGTAGTTCTGTATATTATGGAGTTAAACGGTACGTACTTAATTGAAAGCCACTATGGATATTGTTAAACAAGGAATGTACTTTAAATTTATTTCTAAACAAGTTCGTGATTGTTTAGTTTTTATTTATTTTTTAAGATGATTCTTAAATGTGTATAAAAATTTTACGTTTTCAAACTTCAAAAAGGCATTTAAAAAAAACATATCAAAACATATCGTAATTATTGAATATATTTGTTGTCATATTCATACACTTTTAATTTTTGTATAGTTCACCTGCGCCTGCTTGCGACGAACTTTATTTTATAATACTTTTCAGATGGAGTAAAATTGATAAGCAATGCCGATCTGGTTAATACTTGGCTTGATCATAAGGACAAGAACTCAAAATTATTTGTATTTCAAAAAATGTGTTCTTTATTAGATATTGATAAACCTTCCAGTCAAATGAAACAACACTTGTGCCTGAAAAAGTCCACTATGTTGGAGCGAAACGTCGCATAAAAAAAGTTTCCATGTTTCAATTTATTATAAAACCTCATACCCAAGAAAAGGAAAAAATAATATATGGATATGGTCTATTAAAGAAGTAACTATTAACATCCGAACCCCTCATACCAACAAAAAGAACAGTAACAACGCGAAAAAGTAACATATTAGAAAATGATGTACATAAATATCTTATATGTGAGGATACTTCATCTACCTGTGATTTGGATACTATAAATTTGGAAGATTCTGTCAGCAGTGATTCTTCTGAATCAGAGTAGTTACGATCTATGCATTTTGTTGTCCTAAAGTAAATTTATAGTATCTTAAGTTTTTGTTAATTAAATATAACATTAATGTTTCTTTTTCATTAAAGAAAAATATTTTTATCTTATATTAGGCTTATATTGTAGGAATCATGTTCTAATGTTATTTCAATTCTTTTTTATCACAAGGATTTATTTAGTACTTACACCGTTTTCATACTATAAATTATTATTTGCTTAGATGGAACACAGCTCCAACATTTTTATTATTTATAAGATTTTTTTTTTCATAAACGTGGAACTAAAAACATCATCATTTAGTACAATGAGAGTACTCATCATTTGTGTCAAATAAACCTAGTTTGAATAAATTGCCTACAATAAAAGAGAAGTTTTGGATTCTTGTCCTCTAGAGCCATATGTTCGAAGCACTGTGCGCCGCGGCCGCCTTCATGTTGATCGCATTAAAATAATATTGAAATCGTGGTTTTGCCATAATATTTAAGTATTTTAGTTTTTTCCTAGTGCAGTCATTGAGACATTAAAACACTTAGGTACGAGGTTTGTGTGATGTAACGCTGTTTCGGGTAGTAAAAAATAAGTGAAAAATAATTCGAACTAGGCATCGCGTCGTGTTGTGTTGTGACAATTTCAAATGTTAATAAAATAGCCGAAAAAATGTTAACGCGTAAAGAAGAGCGTAATTAGGGCGTTGTTGGGTGCAATAACATTCAATAACTCAACCTTCCCGGATAATTCAACTCTCCCGAAATAACCATTTTATAGCTTCATAGTTTCTCACATTGATTTAATCAAAAGCCAAAATGGATTCAAGCAGTTCGACAAAACAAATGAGTAAACAAAGTGCTCGTTACATAATCAAAAAATTAAATAGACATATACTATGAGAGGATATAAAATATAATTTGGCGATATTAATGGTATACTTTTTTAATCAACTAGTGATTAAATGTTTTATGAACATCTAAAATTATAATTATGTACCTAAAAATACCTAATTTGTACCTAAATCTCGTTATAGCCGAAATAGCTCCAATTATGCCCAACTAGCAAAACTGGTGATAAAACTATGCTCGCTACCGTAGTTGAACTTATCTAGGAGGATGGGAAATTGTCTGTCCACCCTACAACAAGAAAATTCCCATGTATCATGAGTTGTAGACTGTATGATGAGTTGCAACTCAAGAAAGTGCAAGCAGTTGAAACACAAATGAACAATTCCATTTGAGCATAATTTATAAAGGTAAATTAATATAGGTAACTAAATATTTTCTACTGGAGTTTTTTAAATCAATTAATTTTCCAGCTGATTATTATTAAGACTCTTGTTATATTCAGAAGAGGATACAAAAACGAAAGATTTAATTGTGTTTATTAATACCTCTTTTCCCATTGTAA